GCTTCTCCATCACCATTTCTTTGGTCAACTGGTTTCAACTAAAACAAAAATGACTTATTATAAAAAAAGCACCTCCACTGTTTCTTCACCCTTATGTGGTTCCAAAGACACATGGTTGCTTCTTGAGGACCACAAAAGGAACTGCCCTGCGACATCTCCTTATGCGTCCTTCAGAGGAAAGCTAACGTTATCTGGATTTGAAAATCCTGATAGAGGCAACTCCCATTCCTGACGGAACTCATTTGAATATCAACCGCTATAAACGATATTTGATGAAGGAAATCGGGACAGGCCGCTTGTTGAAACCGAAACAAATCCCTTTGTTAAGCTCATGAAGACGTAACGTTAGACGCAATGAGGACGTTTAACAACAGCGTCTATACATTTCCGTCGCGCCCTAAAAGAACAGCAGTTCAATTAGATGTTTTAACTCCTAGTGAAGGGTGGGAAATTATTCCTATTGGAAAACTGTTTCAATCTGATGAATTCATTGTAAGGTTGAGCCAAGTAGGCCTGGACAACAGCGACGCGTTGCCATCTTGAGCCCCGTACCTAAGAGATAATCAATATTTCTTTCGTTTTCGAAAGGTTAACGAAAACTACTTGATCAAGGTCACAATTTAATCCACGTCCTAGAATTCTTCATTCGCCATTCATGAATCAGGCACGTGCCCAGTAACGTTACCGCGCTGACTTCAATTAATGTTACACGATCGTAATATATATCGAATGACAACACAATACGCAGAAATTTTGTTAAACTGATCTTAAACATCAGAAGAAGCGTAACACACCCTAACGACACCGTGAACGTGTGCTCCCTCTTTGTCGGAAATGTCGGCTGGTGGTCAAGCAAATGCAGCTAAAGCTAATCCTCACAGCGTCGACTAACAAAAAGACCCAGCCAGCGACCTAAGGCGGATTTGACCTTTTAATCGTCTGAAATAATCATAGCATTCATAATATGAAATATTTTTTATACAAAAACTACCGGAACTATACCTCTATATTAGATTAATCACATACTTTAAGCACATGGCTATTAGCTGCGCAGGAGCTAACAGAAAGCAGTACGCAACGCACAAGAACAAAAAAGATGTAGTGAAAAATAAACTGTAGAACATATTTAACTTAAAAAGCTAAAGTGAACTTACCGAAAGGGAATCAGTAATGTGTTTTTGGGAAGAGTTTGACGTGATTTAGGTGAAGCACCTCCTGCGCCGGTAGCTGTGAAGCTTTTAGCTGAGACACTGGCAGCAGCGCGTGTGGCGAATTGCCGGTTTCACAGCAGCGCCTACTAAACTCAACGGCCCACATGATCGCAGAACCCAGCAGCCAATCAGAACACCGCATTGGAACCCCCCATCCTATCATAATTCGTTCTGCCGTAAACCCCCTAAAATTACCCAACTGAAAACGTGGGTGAAAGAAATGATCATAGCAAGTTTGTCTGTCCCGCACGTACGTGAACTATGTGGTGAGCCATTGCGCAGCTGCCGATGCTGACCGTGTTGTTACTGTGCGCATTTTTGTTTGCGAAACTATGAGTTACTTGGTGATTTCCGTGCACATTAGAAACTGTACACTACAAACATTCAACTGCCAATGTAAGTCATTTGAGAAAGCGCCAAAGAGTAAAGAAAAGAAAGAGTAGATGATTAAGAAAATGTCAACAAGTCTTCATCTAAAGCAAGACAAGACATTTTGTACTGTGTTGTACTCATTTATGTAATTAGATAATTAATGACAGGGCTTTTGATTTAATTAAAATTATTATTGAAAGTTATTTCTACAGTTATATAGACATAATATAGCAATATTCATATATAGCAACATAACAATTTTTTCAGCCTCAGTAATGACCTAATGTTATTTACCGAAAGGTTTGAACAAGCAAGTAAAGAGTCATCGAGTAGTAAAAGATGGAAGAGACAGATTTTTTTATTTTTGGGTCAACTATCACATTAATGTCTTAAATATATATATATATATATATATTTATGTATATATATATATATATATATTTATGACATATATATATATATATATGTCAAGCCCATAGTCAGCATGATGAAATGGGGTGGTTCTTTTTCTCAAAAGTGGAGCTTTAACTTTCCTCATTCAAAATTTGGCCACTTGAATAATAAAAAATTAAAACAGAATAATAATAATATAGAGCTTCATAATTTTAGATTTTATTTGAAAATTCATGGATAACAAAAATAGCCAATTTAGCTTTCAAATTAATTTTAATATGGGCCTTTCGCGGTGCTTCAAGCCTTTTTATAGGTTTATTATATCAAAAATAAGGTTTAAGATTTAGAATAAAAGTTAATTGTAAATGTTTTCTCTATTTAACGACAATACAGTAGGTCAGTAGTGAATTTTCACAGTATGTCTGATAATATTTTTTCTTCTGGAGAAAGTCTTATTTGTTTTATTTCGGCTAGAATAAAAGCAGTTTTTAATTTTTTTAAAAAAGATTTTGAGGTCAAAATTATTAGCCCCTTTAAGCTAAACATTTTTCGACTGTCTACAGAACAAACCATCATTATACAATAACTTACCTAATTACCCTAACCTGCCTAGTTAACCTAAATAACCTAGTTAAGCCTTTAAATGTCACTTTAAGCTGTATAGAAGCGTCTTGAAAAGTATCTAGTCAAAAATTATGTACTGTTATCATGACAAAGATAAAATAAATCAGTTATTAGAAATGAGTTATTAAAACTATGATGTTTAGAAATATGTTGAAAAAAAATCTGCTATCAGTTAAACAGAAATTAGGGAAAATAAACAGGGGTGCTTATAATTCTGATTGTAGTTAGAATTGAGGTAAAGTTGATTTTACTTATTTTACTTTCACACATTCAGAATTACATTTATTCTTTGGAAATTCTGAATAGTGAAATCCTATTAGCAGCCAATTATACACAAAATTGTTCACAGTGAAATAAATAGTGCTAATGTTGTTTTGTCATCCTTACAAGTGATTTCAAACCAAATATTCAAAGTACCATGGTAAACAATATGGGGAGCATGTCACAAGTTGTCACTGAACGAATGTACGAATATAAAACCAACTTTACCTGAATGTAGTTCAACTGCTGTGAACTGCATTGTGATTTGTAAATGTGAATATATTGAGATAGGCTATATTGTCCGTTAGGGGGCGTCATACAACTCATCATAGTACAAAAAGTTAAAAAGCGAAACAGATCATTTACGTATTATATTTAAGCCAACCATCAACCAAATACTATTATATAAGAACTCAGAACAGCTTTATGGAAATTGTGTGTTTAAATAAATATTTCCAGTTTAAGATGATTGACTAAAGATTAACCTCTTGGCTCTGTTCATATTAGATGAGAATAAATAAGATTTAGCTGTTTATTAATTGCTGTATAAGTGGAAGAGATAGTTCATATAATATCTCAAACTAAATTTAAAAATAATATAATTTTGTATGAATCAGCCCAGCATGTTCAGATATATGTGTGTTATATGTGTTTGCATATATATATATATATATATATATATTAATAAATGACTTATAAATAAATGCCTTAACAGAAAAATCCCTTTATGCCATGATTTTAAGAAGACATAAAATACTCTATAAGGGAAACAGTGCAGCCATAATTAATTATCATTTTAAATCTTTGTCACTGTATCCTTCAAACCACAAGGTTTACCAATTTCACAAGATGTAATAAAAATGATATTTAATTATTTGTTCTTTTTTATATTTAAATATGTGCAAGTAATAATATGTGCTGTTTCAGTTTTACATGCATGTATTCATATTATGCAGAAAAAAAACAGACATTATTTTACTAATTAGTGACATTTAAGTTTCACTAAAAATTGTTTTGTTTTAAAAGTAAAGTATTTCATCAAAACACATTTATATTTCAAATCCAGTATACTATAAATGTAATTAAAAAAGTATTAGTCTCAACACAAAGACTTCGACTCAACATACTTAGGTTTTGAAAATATGTAGTTTCTGACATTGAAATAGTTTCTGACATTGATAGTGACCGATGAAGTGTCTCATAATTTTGACAAAAAGCAAGTACAAAAATAGGATATTTCTGATTGATTTCTGTTCAATAATGTTAGTATTTATTGTGGGTTTTGTGCATTCTGTTTTCAGGGTTAATAAGGAGTTTAGAAGAGCGTTTTACTCCTCCTCCCTGCTGCTGAAATGGGCTGAACGGTGCACAGTGTTCTGGCTGGAGCTCTGCCATTGTTTGAGATTCCTGATGTGAGTGTCTGGCTGGAAGGGTAAGCCTGGTGACTGGGTAAATCCTGCTCTCTCTCTGCTTTCCCATGACTCCATCTCCACTGAGACCAGTAACTCTTTTCCAGTTTTCCTCAATCAACACATGCTTTCATTTTTTTAGTTTGCAATATAACATACCCTTTTGATTTAGAGTATAAACTAATAATGTGAAATATTAGAGTTTTAGCATATAAACCAAACATTAAAAGTATAATAATTGCCTTGCTATTGAAATTATCCAACATTCGAAAGAAAATTTATTTAATTTGTTGATGTTTTTCAGCGTTTTATGCTTTTCAGTCGACCAGCAGTTGAAGTAGCCACACTGGCCTGGAGGCTTAAAATAATCCTTTAAACACAGGGTTCTCAAATATATATTTTAAAATGCTAAGGGAAATTACGTAAACATCCACTCCACCCTTGAGAAAACTACTAACATATGTGTTCCAGATTTTCAGCACCACAGTGTATAGAGCTCCAGCATTGTTTTCTTTGCACATTTACAGTGTTTATGTAGTTATATATTTACATTTATATTTATATTTGCTTCTGTGCTAAAATGACCTTGGCTGCCTGAATGAAACAAATGATCTGCAAACATCATGTTTGACAAAGTACCTAAGGCAAACATTAAAGTATAAATGGGTTATGTGGTTATAAACCTGGGGCAAAACATCAAGAATAATGGAGAAATGTATGCAAAGATTGGGTTTGGACATTTCAGTAGCTTTTATTTATGTAAAGAGATTCATAGTGCTCACATTGTGGCAAATACTGCAAATGTATGTGAACATGCTAGAGGGAGAAAAAAATAAAAATAAATCTCATCCGGCGAGATTCTGTCCTCTTCAATTCAAATATTATTTCCTTTTATTATTCAGCTTTAAAAACACTCAACATTTGGCCCTGATTTCTGACAGGAAAAATATGCAAATAAAAAACATCAGCCTGCAGATATTCAGGGCTCAAATTAAAAGACTCTTTAAAAAAAATCAAAAAGTAAATCCACCACCAAAGAGTGCAACAAACAAAACTAAAAGTTTATAAAGCAAGCAGAAAGAACATTTATTTGGAAACTTTATTATTTTTTTTTTTTTGTACATCTCCACCATCCAAACTTACAATTCAAGCCCTGAATCTGAGTTTTTAAAAGAAATTGTAGATCCAAAACAAAAAGTGTATCTTGCAATATACATGGTTCATAATATTTAACTCTCTTGTTTGGCTGACATCAGCTAACGTAAAAAATTGGCCAGTATTTAATCACTTGTTGTGATATAGCTACAGTGTGAACTGTGCACTTTTTTAAACATTTTGAATGTTTAGTGGTATATGCAGCTTGTTAGAAATCGCAATTAGCACCTTTACTTTGATTTTAACTTAAGGGTTAGCACCTCCCCCCAATAATAACTAGGAAGCATCAATGGAAGACGTCCTTAGATGACAAGGTCTTTGTCGACATCCTCTGAAAGCAGAAAAGAGACTAAGTTAGCAAGGAATTTTTGCTGTGTATACAGTTGTGTAAACTACTTAAAATATCAGAATTGTATTTAAGCAAAACATAATACTTGTTTTATACTGTAAACAACTGATGACATTTCATTTGTAATTTAGATTTTTTTTCAGTACAAAGCAATAAGGTTTTCAGAAATACAGATTAAGTCAGAATTATTAGCCCCCCTGTCAACCCCTGTCAAAATTTTGGAAAAACTTTTCTAAACATAATAGCATAATAACTTATTTCTAATGACTGATTTATTTTATCTTTGCAATGATGACAGTAAATAATATTTCACTAGATACTTATCAAGACACTTCTATACAGCTCAAAGTGACATTTAAAGGCTTAACTAGGTTAATTAGGTTACCTGGGCAGGTTCATAAGTTATTGTATGACAGTGGTTTGTTCTGTAGACTTTAGAAAAAAAATCTAGCTTAAAGGGGCTAATAATTTTGACCTAAAAATGTGTTTAAATTAAAAAAAAATATTTTATTCTAGTCGAAATAAAACAAATAAGACTTTTACTAAAAGAAAATATTATCAGGTAAACTGCAAAAAAATTCATTGCTTTGTTAAACATCATTTTGAAAAATATTTTAAAAAGGGAAAAAAATTCAAAGTGGGACTAATAATAATGACTTTAAGTGTATATTTACATTAATACAACACAATACCGATATTTTCGTCTTATTAGTAAATTTGGTAGCAAAAAAATCGACCTATCCATCCATCTATTCATCCATCATAAAAATCTTCATATTTACAGTTATGAATTGCATTATGGGACTTTGTTCTCTGCTCTGTCAACTTTGGATGTTGAAAATTCAACTCTGTAGTTGTATTGAAATGTTAGTAGTTTGAAACAATATATTGTATAAGAAATATTGTACTTAGAAAAATGAAAGTCTGAAAAATAAAAGGAAAATTTCTGGCAGAGTATTTTTATGTTTTTGTACCATAATTTACAACACCAGTCCAGGCAGTATATCACTTCAAAAAATTAAAAATGTAAACAAATTCTTTTAGTTTTTATTATTATTATTATTATAATTATTATTATTATTATTATTATTATTATTATTATTATTATTATTATTATTATTATTATTATTATTATTATTATTATTATTCAAAATATCAAAATATTCAACATTAAATGACGTTGGACGAAAGATCAAGGTTCCATAATCCAATTCGAAAACAATTTGATAAATACCACTAATACCTATCTATCTATCTAAAGAGAAAGATATGCATCTATATGGGTCACAGTTTTGTGTATTTATTAATCATATGTTTATTTCAACATTTACTGATCAATTATTAAATAATTCAAAGTTGTTTATGGTACTATTATTTAATTCACTGTGGTTTAACAATGGCTAAAAATATTTTTACACCTTAACCAAGATAATGTATTGTTCAGATTTTTTCTGATGCCACAGTAAAACATCAGCTAACATTTACCTAATGGACCCCTATTGTAAAGTGTTACCCATAGATAAATCATATGATCAGAAACTCACGCTCTTTGATCCCGAAGCAGTTTGCCCACTCCTCCAGAGCGATGTACTTGTCTTGGTCAGCATCGCACTGCTCAAAGAAGCTGGTGGTGCAGTGCTCCATTGGGATAAGAGGAGCACGCAGAGGGGCCAGCTCAGTGTGGGACAGGAACCTGATGAAATGTATAGAATATATGTAAATGAAACTTATAGAATAATAGGATGAAACTAGCTAAAATAGTTGTAAAAATGAGACAGCATACCCATCAATAGGGTGCTGGTCAAGCTGGCCAAACTGCCAGTGAACGGGGAAGATGTACATGTTGTAGTTCTTTTCAAAGTCCAGGGCCAAAAGGTCCAGAGAGTGATCACCAGCCTGAAGCCTCTTCTCATTCTCGTAAATCTTCTTCACCTGCAACAACAGGATAAGGTTTGCTGGAATTTTAGAGCCATGTGGGTTTAATTCCCATACAGAAATCTGACATGTGGTGATATATGGACATCCCAAAGGGCACCTTTATGTCAAAATGACATCAAATTGACATCAAGTATGATGTTAAAAAACATGTCAAAAATGCAAATTGATTTAATGCCATTTTGATCACCAAAATAATGACACAAAAATTATTATATAATAATATAAGGAAAGTTTTATTCATCTGAAAGCTACGATTCCAAGTTAAACTTTACACTCGATTCTATATTCATAGTATGCATGTAAACCATCTTGATGCAATCAAATTGACATCTAACATTGACGTCGAAAACATATAAAAACTGTCCTGTAATTCAGTGTTTCTCAACCACACTTCTGCAGAAGCACCAACACTGCAAACCCAATTCATGTTTTTGATGTCTCCTTTGTCTGTCCCACCTATTACAGGTCTTTTAGTCTCTGCTTATGAGTTGATGATCTGAATCATGTGTGTTTGGTTAGGGAGACACGGAAAATATGCAGAGCTGGTGGTCCTCCAGGAACGTGGTTGAGAAACACTGCTGTAATCGATTTTGGCTTTTTGTTGCCAATGCTAGACGTCAATTTGATGTCATGTTGACATTAAGGTAGTAAATTAAAATCAAATTAAAAATTAATTATCATAATTTATAATTGACTATTTGCATTTATTAGATTTTTCTAAAATAAAGTACATAAATTCAGATTCCTTAAAATAGCATAAATAGTTTAATTGTGAAAACTATTATATTTTATTTCTCTGTTATTGCTGTTACGTTGAGTAACTACTGTAGTTTTATTAATAGTTTAGTTTTCTATTTTTTCTATTTTCTAAATCAGATGTCTTTAAATTGTTATGCTGAGTTAAATGGAAAAATCAGCTAGTCAAGCTGCATCATAAAGGTTTTTCAGACTGTAAAGAACACGAAGTTGAACTTACCCTGAGTTTCTGCTTCTCGGTGAGCAGGTTGTTGTCCTCATCACGCTCATACAAAGTCACCAGCACGTTCTTCAGCCAGTCTCTCATGCGCAGGGGGAACTCATTCAGCTCATTCTCCAAGCAGGGAGCGATGTCTAAACAAAAGTACACACAATAAAGCAATCCATTTCAAACAAATAATAAACACAAACAGCATGCCAGTGCTCCTCCTGTGCTGACATATACCGTAGTATTATAGCCTAAAAGGGGGCAAATTACAGCCCTCTGGCTAATATTAGTGTAATAGCTGTTAGGGCTTAATTCGTTTACGCCAGAAACACATTTAGCGAGTTTCTGACTGAGACACCCTGCTTAGCGATGAGACAACGACACAGCAGGAGCTCCATCTGAGCCCTTCACTCCCGACTCATCCCATCAACTGTACAGCGGTGGTGGATCAGGCAGATTTAAGGGGATTCAGTGTGCTTTGTGCAAGCTCGGGCTCGTCCTGTACTCAGTGTTTGGAGAGGGCAACAGGGACGCCTCAAAGCTACAAGCCATCAATCACTCCAAAGCACTCAGCATTGATGGCCGGGTTTGTGAGTGGTCTGAGTTTTACGCTCAAAGTCTGTGCGAATCAGGGTCAGAAATTATTGGCTTGAGAAAAAAAAATGTACATAAAATGTACCAAAGAAATTGCCAAAAATTCACCATTAGACAGAGTTGTCTAATGTCACATCAGAGTAATGTTATATTAAATTTCTTATGTTGTTAGGCTATGAGCATTCTAACCAATCACACGTGTTTCTGCTGATGTTTTGATTGCAGTAGCCAATTATCATTAATAACAAAGTGTTTGATTATTTACCAACGGGTTTTGTCCGTGTGGTCAAATTATGAAGTGCATTTTTCTAAACACTTAACGTTTTTAAATGTATTCTATATTTTAAAGTTATTACTCACTATAGCAATATCAACAGCAGTTATTGATACTATACTTATAAGGAAAATATCTATCTTTATAACTTTATAAACTCCTATCACTGGTTTCCAGCAACTGCCATACTTTTATGTTTACTGTCATCACAAATTGAGCCAGGATATTATTTAATATTACTCAGATTGTGTTTGCCTGAAAGAACACATAAATAAATCTTAAATAGGATAGTTTGATAAATAGGGAAACATTTTATCAGTTTAATTGTGTATAATACCAAATTTAATGCTGTATTTACATATTTAACATAAAATATTGTAAAAATACATTTAATTATAATCAATTAAACACCTTTCATAGAAGAAAATGTATTTAAATTCTACATTGTAAAGCCCAAACAGTTAAGCTTACTTAAACCGTTTGAGGAAACTGATTGCAACAAACCCTTTAAGTTCAAAAACTAATCCTAATGAATACTCTTAACTTAATCCATTTGAGTAAACGAAGCAATTTGAGCACAGTAAAACTCAATAAATGAAGAGAACTCAAACCAACTGAGTACTGTAAAACTCAAGTAAAGGCAACTCAAACTGTTTGAGGAAAAATTGCTATAAACCATTTGAGTTAAAAAAAAAACTAATCTAAATGAGTACTGTGAACTCCATTTAAGTTGAAGTAATGAGGTATTTAATTAACTCATTACCTTCAACACTGAGTTCAAATCTCTTTTTAAATGAGTAGAATTAACTTTCAGTCAATTCAATTGTGAGTTAACCACACTCATTTCATTTGGTAAAGTTGACTGTTGGGTTTTACTGTTTACTGTTGGGGTTTTTTTAGTGTATAGTTTGAACATTTCCCACTTCTTTTTCCACAGGTATGTGCTCACATTTGCAGGGTCCGATGTAATCCATGTGCAGCTTGTGGCCCTTCTTGGTGCCCTCCAGAGAGCATTTGGTGGCAAAGAAGTGGCAGGAGGACTCGTAGGTCTTGTTGTTAGTGCCGCAGACCTGTGAAATAAACAGCGTAAATGCGAGCAGCCAGAAATGCCACGGATGTCAGGAGACTGACAGGTTTGAGTTCCCCCACAGTATTATACTAATGTTTTCTGACGTTATTTGCCCAATACATAAGGCAACGTTTCAATCAAGCTGCTGAAACTGTGTGCATGTATTCTTCTAGGCATTGCTGTCACCATACGGAAGTGAAATGAAGGGAATGAGAAAAGACACGCACATGCTCGAAGTCTCCGATTGGAGCGGGGCAGGTCAAAGGGTCCTGGCACACACACATGGGCTGGTTGCTGTCATCTACCTCACACACTTTGCCCTTCTTGCAGTGATGGTTTAGGCAGGGGTCTAGCAGAAAAAAAAATTCTTTAATGGCATACTTGAAGTCAGAATTATTAGCCCCCCATGAATTATTAATCCACCGCCCCCGTTTATTTTCCCCCCAATTTCTGTTTAACAGAGAGATTTTTTTAAACACATTTTTTAACATATTAGTTTTAATAACTCATTTATAATAACTGATTTATTTTATCTTTGCCATGATGACAGTAAATAATATTTGACTAGATATTTATCAAGACACTTCTGTACAGCTTAAAGTGACATTTAAAGGCTTAACTAGGTTAATTAGTTTAACTAGGCAGGTTAGGGGAATTGGGCAAGTTATTGTATAACGATGGTTTGTTCTGTAGACTATCAAAAAAAATAAAGTTGAAAGGGGCAAATAATTTTGACCTTAAATTGGTTTTTACAAAAGTTAAAAAACGCTTTTATTCTAGCCGAAAGAAAATAAATACGATTTTCTCCAGAAGAACACATATTATCAGACATACTGTGAAAATTTCCTTGCTGTATTAAACATCATTTGGGAAATATAAATATATATATATATATATATATATATATATATATATATATATATATATATTTCAAAGGGGAGCTAACAATTTTGACTTCAACTGAATATTCTAAATGGTCTTTCAGTCTACTTTCATAGCCCCAAATTATTTTTTTGTTTTGTTATTACTTACATCAAGTGTTTTTGATATGCATTTTAAACTTTTTAGTTATTTTTTATGAATTTGATATAAAAAAACATTATTTTGTATTTTATTTCTTTAAAAAATCTTTTTCAGTGTATTGTAATAATAATAAAAATTTTACATATATTTTTGTTTATCAATAATATATAATAATATGTTTTTAATTTATAAATAAAATGAATATATAATAAAAAAAATTATGTAAATAATATTAATTAATTTTATTATATTTATTGTATTTAAAAAATAAATTGTTAGTTATTTATTTAGTTTGAAGTGTTATTCTTAATATAATTTCACTAATGTGTAATTTTGTAATATTTTAGTGTATATAATATGTTATATCAAATTATATTACACATTATAATATATATTTGATTTTAAAATACATTTTGATGTATACTAAGTTGTGTTTCAAATAGTATATTTCTTTAAAGTTTACATTTAAAATGTTGTTTTTAAATGTATTTTTAAAATCTTTAGTCTAATATGTAATTTATAATTAATGTTTAATTTTATTTAATTTTTTTTCAAAGAGCATATTTTGAGAGTTTTCTTTAAATAATATCATTATTTATAATAACAATATTTTAACAATATTGTTATTATCCAAATATTAATAATAACATGTATTTATTTGTTTGTTCGTTCGTTCGTTCGTTCGTTCGTTCGTTCGTTCGTTCGATCGTTCGTTCGTTCGTTCGTTTATTTATTTATTTATTTATTTATTTATTTATTTATTTATTTATTTATTTATTTATTCATTCATTAATTCATTCATTCATTCACTCATTTTCCTTCGGCTTAGTCGCTTTTGTTTTACACTGCAAAGCCGAAGTTTTACACTGCAGACTGTAAAACTTATGCTGGATAAGTTGGTGGTTCGATCCATACACACTCATTCACACACATATACTATGGCCAATTTAGTTTATTTAATTGACCTAAACCTAAACCGGGGTTGGGGTTGGTGGGTTGGCGCAGCACACAGAAATGCCAACTGATCCAGCCCGGACTCAAACCAGGGACTTTCTTGCTGTGAGGTGACAGTGCTTACCACTGGGACACCATGTCGCCTTTGTTCATTCATTCATTCATTCATTCATTCATTCATTCATTCATTCATTCATTTATTTATAAAGGCATGTGTTTACAAATGTTTGTCCTCTAGTGGATTTACATTTCTAACTATTTTGTGGTGGGCATGTGGCTGGATGACTGGCACTGGCATCAACCAGCTCCTGTTTAACTATAGTCTGTCTGAAAATATAATTACAACTGTCTACTTTTGACTTATGCACAGCCTGTTATTACGCTTGTTCTTCTATATAATCTACACACAATATCACAACTTAACTCACGAGGGACAGCAGACATGATGCACACAGCAGATAAATCTCCTAGTAGGAAAACAAATCTGTATCACTGTAACCTTAAACACATGAAAAATGAACTCACTCTCAGCAATAACATCCTCCACGACCTCAATGGCTTCATCAAACTCTCCGGTCTCCACCTGGACTGGGTTTATTCCCACTTCCAGCTCCTAAAATGTAAAAAAACAGAAAGTATTATTGGTATGGATCGTGTGCAGCCATACCCAGTTTTAAACACAGCTTTCCTCTTTTATGTGAGGAAAATATGTAAAAGCTGAACTTCAAAAGCATAAGTAAGCGAATGACCCACATTACTGACATCTGTGTGCACATGTGGCGAAGCAATGAATTGTAATTATTCCCTTTTAGATATATTTTCAAACTTTTATGGATTCCAGGCCCTCAGGGAATTAAACAGGAAGTTGCATACAAAGACATCTGGTCCCATAATGAGGTTTATTTTTGGACTTGACTTGGCTCCTTAAGATACACTCAAAAATAAATAAATAAAAAAGGAGATGCACTTAAATATTAATGTAATGCAGGGTATCCACGAGGCCTTAAAACGTTTTAAAATGTCTTAAATCTCAAAAACTAAATGTTAGGCCTTTAAAAGTTTTCAATTTGCTGAAACTGTTGCTTGTGTTGTAGGTCTTAAATCTTTTTTGAATAGGTCTTAATTTTTCTTTGTTAATGTATAGCTGCTCAATTTGGCCATTACTAACATTCCGCCTCAATAAAACGTAACTTTTCTATTTAAAAATGTTCTATGTTATTTTTAATAGTTCTCCTTGTAATAACTGCTGAGGACACTGACCTGGACAGATATTTGTGCATATTTAGTTTATTATTGTTTTTAAATTATATATAAAAAAGTTTCATTTTAACGAAAGATTATGTTAAAAACAAGTGTATGTATAAAAACTAGAGCTTGCTTGTTTTGAGACTTCATTTAAAACATGCTAAGAAATAACTATTTTTATAACATTTTTCATTATGAAATTTTTAGTATTACTGTACAGTTAAATGTATTAAACTACAACTTTTTTGATAGGTCAATTCCATTGGGCCATTAGAAAAACACCTTAGCATTTAGCCTTGTATGAGTCTAAATTTACATTTATAATCGTCTTAAAAATGTTTTTAAAAGTCTTAAATTTAACTTGGTGAAACCTCCAGAAACTCTGTAATGAAATAGTTACCTCTTCAACAGCTGGCTCCTCTTCAGTCTGAAAAATGAATTTAATATGGACTTTAACACATTTAATTATAAAACAACTTTACTGTGGATGTTACAGAAATAAAAATGCTTAGTTTTGATAGAAAACTTGTTTTAATTTCATATTTTGCCATTCAAACAAAAGTAATCATTGAAATAACATCAAAAGATTTTATTAAATACACATGTATTTACAGTTTGGAAACAAAAACATTTAAGAGGCTACACATTCAGTTTTTCTGGATTAACTGAATGTTAGTATTTGTTTCATTCTATAAAGTACTTGCTGGTTTGCTTATTTGTTGATTTTATGACAACTGGTAACAAAAATGCAAATGATAAATCAGTGCTATTCTACTAAATTGTTCATTCATTCATTTTCCTTTGACTTAAGGCTGATTTATACTTCTGCGTCAAGCGTACATGCTTTGGCACAGCCTGTGCGCGTTCACATAGTCCTCACCGTGGCTAATGCCGATGCTGATGCGCACCTCTCAAAAAATTTAACTACACGTCGCAACGATGCATATCGCAAGCTCTGTGATTGGTCGGCTTAGTACCGATTGCGAGCATGGGCAGTGCTAAGGGCTGCAAGCTGGATAGAGCAAATGTTTAAAAGCATCGAAGGCCCTTGAAGAAGCTTCAAATGGAAACTTTTGTTCTGTGTTTACCTTATGATTAAAGTCTTTGCTTGTCTGCTGGTTCCCATTACAAAATGAGCAAGTTTTAGCTACTTCAGAAAAAACTAAATACCCATGAAGAAACTTGACAAAGTGGAATGTAAAAACCAGCTAGCATATCAGAAGTGTAATTGCAGAGTAACACAAACAACTCGCAGTATAAATGCACGTTATAAATGTGCATAGTCACAGTTATCAGGGGTCGTCACAGCATTATAAACCGCCAACTATTCCAGCATATGTTTTACACAGCGGATGCCCTTCCAGCCTCAACCCAGTACTGGGAAATACCTAAACACACTCATTCACACACATACACTACGGCCAATTTAGTTTATTCAATTCACCTATAGCACATGCCTTTGGACTGTGGAGGAATCCGGAGCACCCAGAGGAAACCGGAGACAACCCGGGGAGAACAGAATAGAAGAAATGCCAACTGGCCCAGCCGGAACTTGAACCAGCGTTCTTCTTGGAGTGAGGCTAACAACTGAGCCACCGTGTCACCCCATTCTACTAAATCTTGATTTCTTAACTGTTCTAAACTTAAAAACATAGGAATTGTGTTGTCTAAAAATTTAAACATGCAACCTTTTTTATCGTTTGTCAAAAAATGCTCTAAATTACAACCTTGTTGCTTTAAATTGATTTGGAATTTCATCATAAGTCTACAGAATACAACCAAAAATGACCCAAACACATAACTATAAGCTGTTAATCTAGAGCATTTTTAATCGCTCTCCTTTTTATCGCTGCATCTTACTTAAAATGATTAGAATTCATTTGTTTTTGTCATTTTTTAGCTTTACTTACTGGAGCTGCCAGAGTCTTGCCAGCGAGGCAGAACAGGAAGAAGATCCAAACCCTCATCTTGAGTTTCAGCCTAAGCAAAAAGAAAAAAGGAATTCCTCAGATTAACTCCCACAGCACCCAAAGCTCAAGGTAATCTTAAGCATACAGAGCATCACATGATTATATTATTATTATGCACATAACTAGTGTTATCCTGGAATGAAAGGGCTGTAGAAAACAGAAACACACACATACATTGCTTTCAACCCTATATACTCCTGTGGTATCAGTCCAGCTGTGGCTTGAGATCAATACCGTAACAGATCAAGACCTCAGCGGCTGAACCACACGCGTTCAGGCCACCAGACCTGCTCTGTATTCTAGACGACAGAGAAGTAGCCTACAGAAGTCAGTCTCTACAGACGCTGAAGCTGATTGAGATAAGAGCTCTGTCTGTCTTTGTTCTGCTGGCTCGACTGCTCACCTCTAGCTCAAAGAGACAGACTGATGTGAGATGTTCTCCTTGAGCAACGACACTTTCCTGCGGGGCGATACGGGCTTTTTGTCTGAAAGCATTCGCTACCTTGTCCATTTTCTCCGTACCAGAGATCTCTCTTCCTTTTGGTTGCCTTGTCTCTTTCTATCAATATAGATATGTTTTGTTTATGGCTGAAAGGTTCAAAGCAGTCATTGCAGCAGTGATCAAATCTTTTGACATTTTCGGGTGCACTAAAGATAAAAGATGAAAGCTAGACAGTATTGTTTCCCTGTACAAACACAGATCCGGTACTAGCTACAAAAACAATAGACACCCTGCAATTTGTGAACATGAAAGGCATGATTGTGATGCTTGCATACAAACTGCTGTAGGTTTGGCTGTTGAAATGATGGGTTATTGAGGAAGTGTCCGTCAGTTCTTGTAATAAGTTTGATGAATATGCATCGTGACATATTTGGACTTTATAAGTGATTTGGATCCGAGCTAATTCCCTCCCCTCAAGCTGTGCTGGGTCTGTTTGTGCTTGAGTGGGTAATGGGTGGGATCACCTCATATTATCTGCGCATTCATAATTGGCTGAGTTGTAAAATTCTTATGGGATTTAAGGAGTCTTCTTGAAACCATTGACCTGAAAATAATTTGCCCAGCAACTGCTGAGAATCTCCTTGGCTTGTTGCTCAAGGTTGTGAAATTCCTTGTTTTGTCAAGAAAAAAAAACCTTGAGGTGAGATGAGCTCATAAATTCTAATGAATATGAAAGACCTCCTTCTAGTGACATATGCCAAACTTTTCTTATAATTTTATCTACTTGGGGCTAGATTTACTAATGGTCTGTGTTTCTTTTAACCTTTTTAAACCCTGTTAAAAAAACTGCTGTCAGAATTCACTAAAGGGAAGGATTAAAAAGATGTGGACGCCAGTGACCTTATACACTGTAATAAACGATTAGTTGACTTTACTATCCTTGAATCAGAGTAAACCATTAGCATCTCACATGAAGTGATCAAAGTGGTTCAATAGGTTTCCTATTTAAAACTTGTCTCTACTGTAGTTATGTTGTGTTCTAAGACCAATGAAAGATTAATCATACTCACAAGGAACAAGGAACTTGGTACATAATGGCTGCAGCAGGCGCAATAATGTTACACAGTGGCAGTACCTGAAATTAGACCCCAGCTGGGTAACTTCCAATGTTCAATTCAATTTAATTCATGTTTATTTCTATAGCGTTTTTACAATGTAGATTGTGTCAAAGCAGATTAGCATAGAAGTTCTAGTAAGCTAAAACTGTGTCAGTCCAGTTTTCAGAGTTAGTTCAGTTCAGTGTGGTTTAAATTTCACTACTGAAAGTCCAAACACTGAAGAGCAAATCCATTGATGCACAGCAACACAAGTCCCAAGCAAGTCAGTTGCAATAGTGGCGAGGATGAACCTTCACCAATTAACGAAAGTGAAGGAAAAAAACTTGAGAGAAACCAGGCTTCTATGTTAAATCAATGTCACCAAAGCTAAGTTAGTGTAGTTGCAGAGTTGATGAAAGTTAGCTGATTTTCTGGGCATTATAATAACATTGCAACATCGCCAAATTGGCCTAGAAAAAAGCTACTTTTTGTTTTTGGTCAGTCTTAGTACACAATGTAACTACAGAAGATTCAAACTCTTTTGTCATTTTTTAGCGAGATGATAATGATCTAATTTGATTCAATGATTTATCCTAGCTAAGCTAAAAATTCTCCTGCCAGACCCAGAGATTAGCTGACTGGATTCAAAACGTACAATTTCATACGAAAATGTATGATTTTAAAAAGGAGGCGTGGATCCCCAACCTCACCCCTTACTCCAATCGTCATTGTGTGATGAGCAAATCCTACTAAATTGTACGTATTAGATCGTACAAATTCCCACGAATTAGCCACTAAATCAAAAAGTTACGAATTACTATGAGATTGCGTTGTATTTACTGACTTATTTTAAGGGAAGTAACTTATTGTTTTTTAAAATGTTACATAGGTGTTAACTTTTGAACTTTTTGACTTTTTGTGTGATGGTCCTTTCCCTTATTTTTATTAGACATGATTGTTTAATGTAATTTAAATAATCATTTTAATCAAATAAATTATAATGTAATTTAATGTCTCCCTAAAATTATGGCTTAGATTATGTTAGTAGTAGAGTGCCTATATCTGAATATCATCGGTTCTGCTTGTTTGTGACCCTTTGCGAACATTTACATGACAAGAGCATATTAAAATATACATTTCCTTGTGCTTTTGCAAGTAAATGGCAAAACATTTGCAAACACAGGTCAGCAAAAAATTACAAACAATGCTGTATTATCAATGCCAGGTCAGTTGGCCATGACTAGAAAGAAACATCTGCATGATGTCACTGTTTTCACAAAATCACATTGATCAATACTTTACAAGTTGTCATTTCATTTTCAAGTCTTAAAAACACTGTTTAATGGATAAAAAAAAAACTATGGAGTAAACTAATTTTGCATAACGAAATTTAGTTACGTTTCCTTGTGAGAACAATAACATTCTTACACGATTAGTGGTTTGTTGCAACACAAAATTGACTCAAATATGGATGAACCAATTGTTGTCTAATGTAATGGAAATGTAATTGTAAAAATAACCCAATGTTGGGTTTGTCCATATTTGATCCAACGCTTGGTTATGACAACCCAGCATTTAGGTGTATTTGAATAACCAATTTGGTCTCTGTCTAATTTGCCTATTCAGTATGTTATATATGACATTTAATCTGCACCCCTCTACAACTGACTGCATGGGTAAATGCTGATTTGCTTTCATACAATCAACCTCTGTCACTGCAATATACAAAAAAAAAATTGTTTTTTCACAGTAATCTCTCTCAAACACGCCAGAATTCCATAGATTAGATTACATTTAGCCTATTGTTGCTATTGCTAAATTTACCGTAGAACACTTGTTTTTAAGTGCATGAAGCATGATCTCTTGTATTTATCACATGAAAACTGTGTAACCAGGTGCGTAAACCCTTCAATGGCTGTTTTCTTTGGAAAAATAGCTTGTTCCTTATGACTTGAGATGCCCCATCTCTCTAATGCACCTAGACATGGAAAACTACAGAGACTCTGTCACTCGTTGACATTTTGAAACTTGGCAGACAAAGAATCTTTTCACTTTCTGTCAAACAAAAATGCCCTATTTTCACAAGCTGAAGCTGTGTGAGTCATATGACGAAGGAAGCAACTCGACATCATGTCCTGTATTTAATTTGGAGGTCCGCTCTGTACTCTTCAGGCATCTTGGCACATTTATGTAAGTCACTTTCTTTGGCTAAACTAAAAAATCTATTACTCTGGTGGAGTCACTTTAGAGCAAAACAACTTGTTTTATTTGGAAGGTCACTTCCAAAATCAAACATCTCTGAACCCCAAGGTATAAAGGATGCCTTTTTTACCCAGTGTTTAATTTAGAGTTTAGTTAGGTAAGCAGGTTGTGGGGCGTAAACCCCGAGCAAAACAGCAGCTCAGTACTCTGCTTTTTCATTCCCTTTTTTTCTTCCAAAGAGTCATTTTCCAGAAGCTCTGCAGACGCAGTTCTCTCCCTCTCTGGAGCGACAAAACAGGTGGCTCAATCTCTAGACAAACAAATGAACTGCAAAAATGTATCCACCACATTTGAATTGCTGCCAACTAATCTTTACAGATTTAAATATTAAACAATACATGACTTCTGATTTCTTTAACAGACATCACCCAAGGTAGTTTTAGTATATATTTAACACACATAGACACAAAAAAAGCCAAATATCATCATCAGTGCCCAGCACTGGGATTGAGAATTTGGCATGGTGGGCATGCTTGATTTATGGAGCAGGAAGCCACTTGGCATGAGGAGTAAACCTCTGCATGAGCCACCTGTCCATTATGACACAATTACTTCCCTGCATCTGTGCAATGTTTGGCGCTAAACAGAAAAACAGCCTCCTTTTTAGCGAAAGCCATCTTGAAGCAGTGAACCTGCCACATGGAAAAAACATTTAACATGACAAAAACAAATCTGCGCTGACATGCTAACACTAAAACGTGATCTCAAATCAACACATCCTTAGATTTCTGGTTTCACAGGAAATGAAACCTCTCTGTAACCGTATTGTGTTTTCTGCAGAAACAAGGAATTGCTATAAAGCTAAACAAAGTGGAAGAGAGGATATTTTATCCTGTGTTGAAAAGCAGCTGTACCAGGACCTCTGAGACAGACAAAGGACAGTCAAAAGAGAGTGACTGAGCAAAAAAGGATCCGTGTAACTTGAGTTAACAATCACCTGACCTTTCTAAGTGGTCAGCCCTTCCCCCAGCGCTGTGTGTAAGTTAAACCGTTCTGTTGTTATTACTACTGCTTCATCCCGAGCAACCGTCTGTGGGAAAGGAAATGAATTTCACCCTATGAATAAAAGTGTATCACCTTGAAAAGACCTTATCTTGTGGCCAATAAAATGTGACTTATTCATTTATATTCCTATCTGATCTTCAAGGTGAGCGCAAGCCACAAACCACTGCTGGAAAAAATGGGGTTAAAACTAGATTTGGGCTAATCCACATTCTTAACCTGATCTGATAGCTCTTTCCAAACTATGAGAGTCCTTTTTATATTTTAGGGAGCAAATCTTTACTTTAAAGAGTGTTTTTTTTATATATATATACTTTTTGGACTATTGTGAATGCATTGCAAATAGCTATAAAAAAGAACATATCTGATTCTCCCCCAAAACTGGATTATTTCACTTGTCTGATGAACATAAAAGAAGATATTTTTTAAAATGGCTTTATAGTATTCTTGTGTCTTATCACGGAAAATAACAACTGCACTATAAAAAAATTTACTATTAATACAAAAAGTTCTCAAGTAAATATATATCTATTTAAGAATGGTTAGATAGCCAAATACTTTTTTGCAGTTCTTCAAAATATCTTCTTTTATGGCTAACAGAAGAAACTAATGTAATAAATGATTGTGCTGGTTTGAAACAATTTGACATGAACAGATGGTATAATTAGCATTTTTGGGTTAACTATCCTTTAAACTAGTCAAACAATTCCCACACTTTTTGTTTCACCCAATGGCACATAAAACTTTTGATAAAACGTCATTTCCTACATTTTCTTATAAAGTTGGACTTTGCATGTTATCAACTTACACCTTCATGTATTTGCTTGTATATTTTAATAATCCACACAGTATTTTAAGTAACTATTATTGAGTTAAACTTGTGCTTTTAAGTTTAGTTCTAACATAATTTAAAAAAAATTATACCTATATTAACTTCGTTGAATGCTTAAAAAACACACGTTTAAAATATTGTACAAATGCATTTTAAGGTCAGTATTATTAGCCCCTTTAAGCTATTTTTTCGACAGTCTACAGATCAAACCATCATTATACAATAACTTGCCTAATTACCCTAACCTGCCTAATTAACCAAATTAACCTAGCCTTAAGCCTTTAAATGTCACTTTAAACTGTACAGAAGTGTCCTGAAAAATATCTAGTCAAATATTGTTTACTGTAAACATGGCAAAGATAAAATAAATCAATTAGAAATGTGTTGTTAAAACTATTATGTTTTGAAATGTGTTGAAAAAATCTTGTCCCTGTTAAACAGAAATTGGAAAAGACAAATCAGAAGAGCTAATAATTTTGACTTCAACTGCATATGAAATTCAAACTTGTTTGTATCGTCATACAAAGGGAAAAATAGATCTTAAAAACTTGTATGACATGCATCGGGATGCTTGAGAATTTGCTAGAAAAACTTTCTAACCAAAGTTTTACATAACAATACACTCCTCTGACAGCTGTGGCCTGACAGTTTGTCTTCTCACGAATCTTGTTTGTCTACAGCGGCGACATCTGCCTCATTTCGACAAGGTCTCAAACAGCTGGTGAAAAATCGGCATTGAAACACGCATTCCTTTTGATGGGAGTAATTGTAAAGGGAGGGTCTATAAGGCCGAGTCTATCTCCCCTCCCCCTCCATCCCTGACTCCAGCTTCACCCCTCCTGCTGCTTATGTGGCACACAATACCTCAATATTGTGCTGCTCGCTGAGCCCTACAGCTCCCGTTCTGCATCAAACTTTGAGTAAACAGCACAGTAAGGAAGCCAGTTTGATAAAAAGCCAGTTCACATTTAATTCACAAAGACTTTGTGATCAATAAGTGCAGAAAGTTTACACAAAATAACAGACACCTGCTTAGTGTGGATGTTGTATAAATACTTTAGTGCTCTCTGTAAAATCTGTGCTTTCAGGAGAAAATGATGCTTACAACTTTGAGATAGTTTGGAGGCAAATTCACTTTCAGAACTGCAGCAATTCAAACATTTTCAAAAGATCATAATAGGATTCAAGCTGGTACCCTAAAGCTAGATTTTGGTGCCTTACGTGTGCATATTAGTACCTAAAAAGTACAAAACGTTGACAATGACTTCTTTTGTATCTGTACTTTTGAGCATGTAGGACAAAAATGAAGCTACTGTTTGCTTTGACAATAGTTTTAACAGTGTTAGTAAATCAACGCTTGTTAGTTTGTTAGTCAAGTTTTTGGAGAATGACAAGGTGAGGCAAATGAAAGCTCTTACCTTCTGTCCGTCTTACAGAGAAGCCAGAGGAGAAGTCAGCTGGTGAAACTTTCTGAGAGAACTTTCTGAAAGCAGCACAAGTTCACACAGAAGACATTTGCTGTGGGCAGGTCCACTCAACCCCCTTCACTTGGGACGTCCCACAGTTAACTCTGTGTATCCAACTCACGTGGACCTTGTCGAACTTCTAAAAGTTCAAACTTTTAACATTTAGGTATGTGAATATTAACATCATCCTATTGTGCTAAGCTTGATAGCTTTAGAAAACTACAAATATCTATTTTTTATTTTATTTATTTATTCTTTTTTTAAACACTTAAAAGAAGATTTTTAGTGAAAGGGATAGCTCACCCAAAAATCTAAATGTCCTCACTATTTACTTTTTATGACTTTTTTCAAATGTATGTTAGTATTAAAAAAAAGCCAGAATACTGTGGAGGTCAATAGCTGCTTTCCCCCCAATATTCTTCAATATTCCTTCTTTTGTGTTCAACAGAAAAAAGAAACTCAAACCAGTTTGGAACAAGTGAGGAGTGGGTAAACCATGACAGGTCTTTATTTTCGTATGAACTATACCTTTAACTGATTTCAGTTTGAGCAAACACTGACAAACACAACAGGCTAGATCCTGATTTGTGTCTGAGCTACAAAAACTCTCCCTTCCAGCAAAATATTATTGAATTAGGCTTCATGTCAGATCATGTAGGTCAGTGTTGAATAGAAAGACTAATGCAGAGAATGAGCAACAAAGACTGAACTCATTTGGGTTTGTCTGCTTAGATGTGCCTATTATTTTATTGAAATTAAACTACCATAGCTTTAGTTCACCTTAAGTTTAAAGGTGACACTTTACTATTCCATAAGTTAATGTTAGATAATGTATTTACGGACACAAACAAGTGAAAAACTAGGTAACACTTTATTTTGATAGTTCATTTGAGTATTAGTAGACTAGTTAGTAGATAGTAGATACTGCTCCTTTAACAGAAATAACTGACTATAAGAAACTTTGCAAATACATGTATGCTTATGAACCCTTACCCCAACCTAACAGTCTACTTATAATCTAATGAGCATTGGTTGGCATGTAGATGCAATGTAACTTAATTTCAATAAATGGATTATCAAAATAAAGTGTGACCAGAAACTATTATTAAAGTATTTTCTCATCTTTGTTAAAGTTAGTTCATAAAAATAAAGTTTCATTTTTAGTCCTTGTGAAGTCGTAATGCATTAACTTATAGTGCATTTACTTTAATACATTTAATAATGCAGTAAATGTCAAATTAACTAACAAACTAAAATTAACTAATGGAAATGTATTGTATAATGTGAGCAGTTTAAAATCTGCACTGATAATTCCAAATTAATTAAAGATGGAAATTATAATTGACATATTTCTTCATTACTTGTAGTTGACTTATTTCCATAAAATACATACAATAAAAAACAATGACATCAAAAACTCCACCAAACATATTTTAATTCAAAAACTACAAAACAAACAACAATAAAATATAAATAATTAAAGTCTTTTAGTACAGTCTTTGATGTTATGTGTTTTTACGTGTGCTCTATTAACAGCCTGTAATTTACATAAATAACAGACGTTAAATTACAGAAATGTACCATAAAATAACAGATGTTAAATTACAGTAATTTATCGGAATTTTTATTTAATGTTCATCATTTTACGATATGTAATTCAACATATTTATTTAACATTTTTTTAAAAGCCCTAAAATAAAGATTTTTTTTGTTTTGTTTTGCAGTGTACAATAAAAATAAAACATATGTAAACCCATTACTGCCTGCTGCTAGTTGTATAATAAATATATTTTATACACTTTTTATAATATTTTATAATATATTATATTAATATATATATATATATATATATATATATATATATATATATATATATATATATATATATATATATATATATATATATATATATATTAACATATTATATGATTTTTACAGATGACAGTATTTTCAAAATAATCTCTGTTTACACTGATCCCACTGGTAATGGGGTGGGAAAAATAATAAGCTTGTGCTTTATCCCGCTCCATTTTCAGCCATGTTGACATGTATTTTTTGTCAAAGATATTTTATGTATGATATTTCTGTTTGAAAATAAATAAATCACATCAAATCAAACAAATCAAATTCATAAAAACAGTTAAACAGTAAGCTATTTTAAACAGTGTTCATTTTCTAAAACTTTCACTTTCAACCCTGTTTTAAAAAGTTTGCGTTTTCAGACCAGGAAAAGGGAAATTATCATTATTTACAGCAGTATGAGGGTGAGGGTGAGCACATCATCCATTTTGGGTGAACTGTCCCTTTAAAATCTAACCTAACTAAGATTTATATCGGAAGAATTCTATGTAATTGACTTAATCACTGAGTTTGCTAACTTTTTTGTAATTAGAAACCTGCTGTACACTCAACAGTGTTCACTTCACTGATAAATAACTGATTCATTTCTGATCCTCAGATCATTTTTGATCTGATAACGATGCACAGATAATCTACAGTGGCTGACTGCAAATGTAGCATGTTTTTCAGATGCTCAGCACGTTTTTTTTTCTTTCTTTTTTGGAGAGAGAGTGTCAAATTGTTGAATACTCTAAAAAAATCCAGTCTGAAATTCCAGAGCTCATCCCACTGTACAGTCTGTAAGTTTTGTGTGTCCAGACAAACAGGCTAAAGCAAATGAGCTCTCTCTTTCCATTCTACAAACGTCCAGCCAGGTCTAAGCAGTTTACTCTGCTATAGATTGGTCATGTCTGTACTTTCTGAGTGTACAGAGCAGTAAGGAGAGAAACATCTGGATGAGACAACGCTGGAAAAAAATAGTTTCTCTGCAACGTGGCATTTTCCATTCTGGCCTCTGCAGACACTGAAAACAGGCCACGGAGGAGTGTAATTATTCTGTGCTCTGCAGACGTGGCGCTGTCTGTGGGATCTAACAGGATCACGGAGGGTCACAGTCTCCAGGGAATTTATATTAGATTCTCTCACGTTTCAATTCCTCTTATAAGATAAAAAGAAATTGAACCCACAAAAGTAAACTAATAAAGTTCATGTGTCTTAAAACAGTGATACTGTGAAATATTGCAAAAATGTTGCAAAATAAATATGTGAAGAGTTCAGATGCAGAAACCTTTAAATGTTTTTTGATATTGTCTTCTAAAATGAGCATTTATCCCTGACTCATGTGTAGACATTGCCTTTAAAGTAAAATAACTGAACATAAACATAGGAGGCTGAGAAAAATGCAAATTTAAGGAGAAAATTTTAGATGGCATTCAGAGGTTTTTGCATCTGAACTCTTGAAATATATATAACTTTATAACAGTATAACTTTAAATTATAATTTATTGCAATAAAAACAGTGACATTTATAATGTGGTGGAGTTCAATGCTGAACACAGTGTTTAAGCAGAATCTGCCTTTGTCTTGAGTTGCTCACCAAAGATAATCTGATTATTTTACACCATTTAATGAAAACATTTATTTCCGTTCGCTTTTAACAGTAAAACAAACAAACATGGTTTACATAAAATTTGAATTGACAATGTTGAAACCATCCCCATGATTCTCTTTCTCTTCTCAGATGGGATGGCCAAATCAAAGGTTACCATTGGCAAACTTTGGCCAACGGGCCCTAGTTTGTGCATCTCTGTGATTTAAAAAATTACAGTTGTTTTTTTAATATGTCAACACATGTATTAAAAACGCTGGCTGCTGATTTTAGATTCAGGTATGAATAGTATATGCAAAATTTGTTTACGCAAAATAATTCATGAATAGAAATTGACAAATACATTTAACACCCTGTTTATTGAAATAAAATGTAATAATCCATAAAACAATCTATTTGAAATGTCAGTGTGTGTGTGTGTGTGTGTGTGTGTGTGTGTGTGTGTGTGTGTGTGTGTGTGTGTGTGTGTGTGTGTGTGTGTGTGTGTGTGTGTGTGTGTGTGTGTGTGTGTGTGTGTGTGTGCGCGTGTGACAGTTTAAAAATGTTTGATTTGACTTGTGTTTTTCTTCTTTTTATATTAAATAATGTTGTATAATAACCATATTTTTATTATTCCTACACTGTAAAACAGTCAACTTTATGAGTTTCTCAAAATTGACTGAAAGTTAAATCTACTCATTTCAAAAGAGTTTTGAACTCAACGTTGAAGGTAATGAGTTAATTAAATACCTCATTGCTTCAACTTAAATGGAGTAAGTTTACAGAACTCATATAGATTTTTTTTTTTTTACCTAAATGGTTTGTAGCAGTTGGCTTCCTAAAATAATTTGAGTTTCCTTAACTTTTTGGGTTCAACAGTGTAACAAAAAAATCCCTAAATATGGTTGACCATATTCTTACTGTTTTAAATAATGACTGTTAAAGTCATTTAAAGAATGACTGCTTTTTAAATAATTGTTAACAAGACACAGCATTGTTGGTTTGCATAAAAAAAAAAAAAATCAAACAAACATAATCCTGTAGCACTTACACTTGATTTTGGTTTTATTGTAAAAAAAAAAAAAAAACGGGAATGTCATACATCAAAAAAATAAATATAAATATGATTTAGAATTTTAAAAAATGTTTTATTTTGATAATGTTTTTAAATAAATTGATCTTACACTTTTTCTATGATTTTTTATAGTAAATGTATTAATTCCCGTTCTTTTACCATAAACCGAAACATCAAACATGTGGTAGAGGTTGATATTTTAGTAATTATAGCATGTGATGAAAAACATTAAGGGTGTGTTAGGATAGTTGGGTGTGTTAACTAGTTAATTTTTTTTTCTTAGTGGGGCATTTTAACATTTGATTTGTCAGATTCTAATATAAATAAAATAGAAAGAATCTGCAACCATGAAATTAATGTAGGCTTATGCTGTATACATTTTACAAACAATATTAGATTTTTTTTCTTTACTCTACACTGAGTAATAAAGGTACTAGAGCTGTCACTGATGTGGTACCTTCACAAAAAGTACACCTTTGCACTTTTTAGATGCTAAAATACACA